GAAAATGCCAGATTGTGAGACAATTATGGATCGGCTGATTAAGCTCCAGCACCCTGGGAGAGATGCTCTAGAGGAGGATCAAGGGATCGAATTTTTTAAAAAAAAGAAAAGGCAGTTGTCTTGGATTGTGCGGCATTATTTATAACCCTCCAGACAGCTGCACTTCATTCTAAAAGACATCAAAAGTTTCCCTTAGAGAAAGACATCCAAGGAGGAAGTCGTGGCGGGCAGGAAGACGTGGTAAGGGACCTTCAGCTCCCGGCTGACTTCAGGAAACATCTTTCGGAGTCAGTTTCCCAAGGAAGTCAACTTGACCTGGTATTCCTATCACCCAAGACAAAGAAAACAGGCCCCCCAGGAGCTGCCCGGCTGGCACAGAGGAGGGGATCCTCTAAACACGGGCTTGCACGGAACAGGCAGACCAAAGTGGCTACTTGGATGATTTCACTTGTTTGTTCAAAAACAGCGAGAGGCAGGTATTCTCATCAGCTCTCTCTGTCTTTCCACCAAGCACTTGCTGAGGACACCACAGCTGGCGCTCCAACCCAGAAGCGGTGACAGCAAGTCTCTCAGATGAGTCACAAAGGATGCCTGATCAAACCGAGCTCCAAGGCTGCCCCTCCTCCTCGCTCTGCAGCTGGCATTAACTCCGGAGCCAGAAGGAGCCACAATCACAGACTAACACATTAAACTGTTTTCCCATTTTAAAAGAAAATCCTTAACAAGTGTCAAACTTAAAAGTCCACTATGTTATTGGAGGACCCCCAAATGAAATTTTTTCCATTATATATATATATAAAAAAATCCTTATAAAATAATCAGCCGGGTAAATAAGGGAAAAGTAGAGAACAAACAGGCATAAGACCTGCCACTGAAAAACAGCACCCCCATCAACATTTTGATTATCTTTCAGTTTTGATTATCTTTTCAGTTCCTCTAAACATCCCCCCTGAGATGTTTTGTGTTGTTGGAATCATAAGGTATATGACTATGTTGCTTAAATGACTTCACAAACATTTCCCCATGTTTTCCTTCTTAACTTCATATAACCGCATAGAGTGGGTGAGAGAAGATGTTTAAAGTAAACCAAGTTGAGAAATAAATACTTACCATCCTCATTCTTCCACAAAAACTACTGTAGTAAAAACCAAGAATCTCCAAAAGTTTCTGGGGTCATTGGAGATAAGATACATGAAAAAACGCTTGGATGCATTGGAAGTGTTTAAGAAATGTTAACTGACTTTCAAGTGACAAAGACAATACTTACTATAGCCATCCCTGGAAAGATACAAAAGAAATTCAATTCAGCCTCTGCTCCCAATGAATTTTTAATAACACTGAGAAGATAAAATGCATTTACACCCAATAACAAAAGCGCAACGTAATTCAGTGGGCAGACATTCTGGCTTGAGGAGCCTTATTCCTGTCTGCACCCCTAACACAAAGGACGTATTACAGATACACAGTCAATGTCTGTTGTACTAGTCCAGACTACAAGCTATGCTGTTTAGAAATAGGAAGGATCACTGTGAGCTGAGTGAAGCTGGGCAAAGCAGACAACACGCACATGGCAGAACTTGATGTGGGCAATATTCTGCAGAAAGCAAGCTGACCCACAGAAGCCTTGGGATACTCTGAAAATGAAAGATGGTATAAGAAAAAAAAAAAAAAAGGACTTCCTCGTAGCTCAGTCAGTAAAGAATCTGCCTGCAATGCAGGAGACCCAGATTCAATTCCTGGGTTGGGAAGATCCCCTAAAGAAGGAAATGGCAATCCACTTCAGTATTCTTGCCTGGAGAATCCCATGGACAGTGGAGCCTGGAAGGCTATATAGTCCATGAGGTCATAAGAGTTGGATGTGACTTAGCAGCTAAACCACTACCAATCTATTAACAAGTTTGATGTTTCTACGTAACGAGCTTTGAAACCTCAGCTGTACATATTAACTACTCATAGGAATATAATACATAACACATAATTGTTCCTAAAGTGTGTCCAACCCTTTTGCAACCCCGTGGATTGTAGCCCGCTGGAGTCCTCTGTCTATGGGATTTCCAAGGCAAGAATACTGGAGTGGGCTGTCATTTCCTTCTCCAGGGGATCTTTCAGACTCAGGGATTCTTTACCCCCGAGCCACCAGGGAAGCCCTGCAACACATAGTAGATACTCCTTGAATACAAACACACCAACACAAAGTTCGACAGTATTCCTAGACATCAGAAACAAAGGTTAATCTCAGAAGGCTTTCTGTGTGTCAGAACACGTTGGAAAGATGCAGTAAATTAAGGCTTTAGAACTCCATATAGAGAACCACAGTGGTTACTGTCCTTGCTAAACTGGGTGTAAAAGAATGTGCTTACCAAAACTTTCTTTCAGGAATGCTTTAGAATCCACTGAAGCTATTTGTATATACTGTGGGCATCCAGAAAGCAGATACATGAGATGTGAAATCTGCGCTCGGCCCTCACAGCATCACATTCACAAGATCACAAACACATCTTGAGAAGTGTCCAACTTCACGACGAGGGTATCAAGCAGACTCCATACCTCCTGACTTCATCCACACACAAACTTCTCTTTGTTTTACCACACTTGTGCTTGTGAAAAAATGCAAAGAATTTGTGGGGAAGGAATTTGCTAATATTACATCTCTAACAGCTGCTGGCTGGACTGTACTAAATCCACAGCCTCTACAGTCGCATTATATGGCCATCTCAAAAAGTGGGTGTTAAGACACATCAGGTCTCTTTCAAAAGAAATGATTTAAGCCTACCCTGTGAGGCTGCTTAAGAGAAAGTTTCCCAGAGTTGGGGTGGCATGTGTGATCTCTCTGTCTAGATATAACGCTGCAATTACTTATGATTAAGTATCTCTAATAGCTTCCCACTCAGTTTCCCCAGACTGAAGCACTCAGAACAAATGCCTTCAACAGGCCCTCTGGGAATGAACAGCTGGTCTGAAGCAGTGCATGCTTCAGGGCAGGTGGTCCTTATTTTTCTGAACACACATGTGCACACACATGTCTGATAACAATCATACCAGATATAATTAATTCAAGAGACTGAAAACAACATGAAAGAAGAGGTCATTTTAAAATGTTTCAGAAGTCCAAACAAATGCAAATGGAAAATTTAGAACTTTTTTCAAAAATTTCCTGAAATTATGATTTTTAGATTTTGCTAAACCTTAACAAATTGTCTTACCCCAGGAATACAAACTGTAACTCTCTTACCTCTAATGAAGCATCTCTCTAGGACATCTGAAGATTTGGAAACCCAATGGCAATTACCACATAATCATTCAAAAAAGACGCGTGGCATAACATTTGCAAAGGGGAATTGCACCTGTCACCAATTCAACAAAAGAATACTTTATCTACAAACCACACAGCATTGAACATTTAATAATTTGGTTAAAATGATCCATAGCAAGAATTCCACTGTCAAATGGAACAATTTAAGCAACAACAACAAAAAAGGATTAACACAAATGGTTGACAATTTCCAAACTGGCACGCGAGGGATGTCACCCTGAGCAAGTTACTAAATCTCTCTGTACTCAAAATGATACTAACAACCTCTTAGAGTTGTTATCAATGTTAAATGAATACATATTAAATGTTTATAACAGAGCCTGGCAAAGGGTAACTAATAAAGAACGTATTATATCAGGAACCAGATTTTTTTTTAATGAGAGCACTCAAAAATAATAGCAATTAAGAAGCGTAATCATAAAAATAAAAGAGATGCAGCTGTGATGCCCTGTGAACGAATAGTTTTCAAGGTATTACTGTATATTTACAGCATAAACAAAATAATAGAAAAGAGCTACATCTCTTCAGAGCCTATTAATACATCCTACCACCTTTACTCTTTGTCATTAATCCTACTATGCAAAATCTGATTAGTCCTCCTATGCTCCACAGGTAAATTCCAATCTTTAACATCAAGGAAATCACAGAAGTAGCGTTTCCAGGAAACCAAAATAAGAAGTTAGTAAAAATAAGTTTACTGGGATTTCCCTGGTAGTCCAGTGGTTAAGAGTCCTCACTCCCAATGCAGAGGGTACAGGTTCCATCACTGGTATGGGGACTAAGATTCCCCCATGAGGCATGGCTCGGCCAGAAAAAAAACTTTTTTTGTTTAATTAAAATTAAAAGAAAAAACGAAGCTGATGTGAAGGCCTTATCATCCATTAGTTTTACTAACAAACCACCGACTTGAAACTCATTCCTGAACTAAACTGCCAAATGTTTCTGCGGTAAAAACTGCAAACTTTCGTGTGAACAGATCTTTTCAACAATGGGGAGTTGTTCCAGTCTGTGAATAGGACAGTGTCCGTGTGACCAACAAAGCCGGGAGGGGACATTCCTGACACCCTTGTCCCCTGGCTAGCCTTTGATCATTCATCTCTCCCAAACACACGTTTATGGAAACCACTTTCAGGCGCAGTATAGGGACACGTATTCCCTGAACTTAGCCCTCACACCGAGTCCTGCTCCCCGGCTTCTGCGGGGACCCTCACTGTTCTCGCCACCCCTGAAGACCACTCCCCTCACTGAATCTTCAACACAGAAGCCTTTGTTTCCCTAGTGCGCCCACCCCACTCCCGAACAGTCTCTTGGGGCCTCGCTGTGTACACTCTGAAAACACCATGGGATGACGATGGCAAGGAAGCAGACGACAAAGTGACCCGGAGAACTGGGAAGTCCTGCGGATGCCCCAGGCGAGCCGGCGCGGCGCCCGGAACCGGGTCTGAGCGTCCCCTGCTCCTCAGAGTGCTTTCTGGACACGGCGTTGAGGACTACGTGGGACCGCGCTCTCGGGCGCCCAGCGCACGCCCACGGCCCCCAGCGTGTGGTCCGGCCGTTCCGTTGCCCAGGGCCTCCAGCCGGGGCGCGGATCGGCGGACAGACCAACGCCCGACCCCGGCGGCCCCCGCGCCACTCCTGGGCGAGCTGCAGGGCTTGGGGCCGGCGGGACAAAGGGGGCCAGGGACAGTCGGCTTTGTTCGCAGAGGGACCGAGCGCGGGTCCACAGGACCCGGGCCTGACCCCGCACCCCGGGACGCCCTGCACCCAAACCCCCAGGTCAGATCCCCTGGACTGCCAACTCCGGGGTCCCCGGCCCCTGAGACTCCCCTATACTCCCGACCTCCACACCTCCCGACCTCTTCCCCGACCCGCAGCGCCTACCCCGACCCCAGACCCGCACCCCCAGCCCGGGACCCGCACCCCTGGGACCCCGCATCTCCAGGACCGCTCCCCGCTCAGCCCGAATGCCGGGAGCCCCGCATCCCTGACCCCGGACCTGAGCCGGACCCCCTCACCCCCGAGACTCCTCCCTGACGCCCCCCGCAGCCCTGAGCTCCGGGCCCCCGCGCCACCAGACCCGCTCCCTGCGCCTGGTTCCCTCGGGCCGCGTCTGGCGGAGGCCTGCGGACTCACCCCGCACGACCAGCAGCAGCAGGACCAACGAGGGCCTTCGCCTCAGCGCCATGTCGAGCGCAGCTGAGGGGCCGTGGGCCCGCTCCCCGCGCACGCGCCCTGCCCGCGGTCCTGCGCCCGCCCCGGTCACCATAGCGACCACGGCGGCGAGCCGTCGCCATGGTGCATGGGAAGCCCGAGTCTGGTTGCTATGGAGGCAGGGATGCTCTGGACCCGGCCCCTGGGGTCTCTTTCAAAGAATTGGTGCGAGGAGGTGAAAGAGCGCGTTCAAGAATGGGCGGGTTAATTCCTACATTTATAAACTGAATCCGTCACTACAGATCCGGAAAGGAATGCTCCGTTAAAATTTAAGAAATGAAGTTCTTATTTCACAAATAAGATTGGAGCCCAGTTGTCCTGGAAGCATTTTTGCCTGTGCCTTTTTTAGAAAGAAAAGTTAAAGCGTTAATCGCTCAGTCGTGTCCACTCTTTGTGACCTTTCCTCCTCTGTCCACGGACTTCTCCAGGCAAAAATGCTGGAGTGAGTGGCCATTCCCCTCTCCAGGGGATCTTCCTGACACAGGTATCGAAGCCAGGTCTCCTTCATGCAAGCAGATTCTTTGCCATCTGAGTCCCTTGGGGCCTGATTCTAAATGTGATGAGAGGGGAAAGTGCTGAAATCTATATAAAACACAAGGAATACATGCATTATATAGTACATAAAAGTGATATATTTCTAAAATAAAAGTTTGTTAGATCAAAAGCATGGTAGTATATTTATTGATATGTTAGTTCAATAAGCATGACAGTTTATTGCACAGAAAAGCAAGATAATTCTTTGCTCTTATTTCTGAATATTGAGAAATGGTAAGGTTAGGGAGGAAAAAAGAGAGAAGAATTTTATAAGGCCAAGCACACAAGATGAACAGAAGGATTACATGTACTGGAAATTGGACCCAAGAATGCAGGAGATGTCGAGTGTCATTAAATACTGTGGGAAATGATTGTAATAACTTATTTTACATCCAACATAGTATATCTCTAATGCTCCAGGAAACAACAAACTCAAAACAAAATTCTTAGTATGGTTATTAGCAAAATAATGCAGTTTCCAACAACTAATATTTTTTTAATGTTTAACTTAGGAATGTCACTTTTCACACAGTTATCCTAATTTTTAAAGTATTAATATTTTAGTATTTTAGTTTTTACAAAGTAGAACAATGTGTCTACAAGTATGCATATACATATATAATTTACATATATACTTAATTATGGATGTCAAGAAACATGAAAGAGATTGAAGTTGTTGTCAAGGATATTCTTCAACTGCCATCACTAGGTGATTTTCTTTATAAGTCTTTGTTCACACTTTTGTTAAGTGTGAATTAATTATATTCCTTCAAATCCCATAAAGACAGAATAAAAATTTAAAAATAACTCAATCACCTGTCATGATTCTATTGTCTTTCCTTTCCTAAATCTTTTCTGCTCCAGATCACCATGTTCTAAAATCACAAGTAAAAATATGTAAAAACTTTTATAGTGGCAGCCTCTGTCCCATAAATAAACTCAACAGAGAAATTTAAAAGAGTAAAATTCTACTTAGGCCCACTGACTTTTTTTCCTTCTGCTCTCTCTCTGTTCTGCCATTCCCTTTAGTCCTAATTATACACTCAAGCATATTTGCCATTTTGGTGACCTAGGAACTATGACAAAGTATCTGATTGTGAAAACAACAGTTTTCAGAATCAATGCCTCTTCTCTACTGCTGAATTTCCTGTGTTTGCACTGTGAAATTGTTCTGTCTGTTAAACAGTCTTAGGGAATCTTTTGAAACTCAGAACAAGATAACAGAGAAAGGCTCAATGAATATTCTACATGGAGCAGAGATTCCTATGAGAGTGAATGCAGGTCCTCATTGTAAAACATTGATTTTCCTCTACAGATGGAGTCTGCAAGTCGGGACCAGTGGCTGAGACAGAATCCTGAAATGGAGACTAACTAGTGACATGGTAGGATGCATTTGGCTGTCAAATGATCTCCTCCGATGATTTCACTCTTCTTGGGAGAGTTCTGACCCTGTGCAGAAGGGTGTCAGAGCTCTTGAAGCATTTAGTGAACAGGGCTGTGGAGTCTATGCTTCTATCACCATATTATCCAACTGACTATGCTTCTTTCTAATGGTGGCTTACTAAGGAGAGACACAGGTCTTAAAAGAGCTCAGGGAGGGGCTTCTCTGGTGGTCCAGTGGTTAAGAATCTACCTGACAATCTACCTGGACACAGGTTTGATCACCGGTCCAGGAAGATCCCACATGCCACGAGACAACTAGACCCATACATCACAACTACTATATCTGTGCACCCTAGAGCCTGTGCTCTGCAACGAGAAGTCACTGCAATGAGAAGCCTGTGCAATGCAACTAGAGAAAGCCTTCTTATAGCAGCAAAGGCCTGCTGCTGCTGCTAAGTCACTTCAGTTGTGTCTGACTCTGTGCGACCCCATAGATGGTGGCTCAACAGGCTCCTCTGTCCCTGGGATTCTCCAGGCAAGAATACTGGAGTGGGTTGCCATTTCCTTCTCCAAACAAAGGCCTAATGCAGCCAAAAATAAAAACAAATAAATATATTTTTTAAAAGAGCTCAGGGAATGAAATATATTTGTGCTAAATCTGAACAACAGCCTTTGCAATATTTTTCAAACCAACACAAAGTGCAAATCAAGTAGTAAATGGGAAATCAAATTTTCCTTCAAGACTTGAAATCAAGCAGAATGCTATGGGGTTTCCTCAGGTACAAAAGCCTTTCCATGTCCCCTGTTTTTTGTCAGTAGTGTTGACTGGGGGAAAAAAAAAAGCACAACCTTAAAGTTCAGAGTTAGGTTTCTTTTGGTGGACTTGCTCAGGACTTAAGCCCAGGAGGCAGCCTCTGATGGCTCTAAGGGACCTTTCCAAAGAGGGCAGGGAGGAGCCAGGGCAGATATTTCTGGCAGGCCATTTCTGCAACAAAGACCAGATAGTCAGGCCATCAGGAGATTACTGTTAATTAAAGAAAAGCCAAATACCTCAAGTTCATGAATTTTGGGCTTTTCTATATATGGGAAGAGTCCTGACTTACTGAAATCATTCCTTTGATATGTCTCTTAACTATCTAGGGCCAGTATCCTGTTTTTCTCCCTCCTGAATCTTCTCAGAGTGGGGGAGGCTGCATGGGCCAAAGGCTTGATGGCTGAAACATCCTTTGTTTACTGATATGGCAGGGAAATTCTTCATCCAAAGCAGGAAAAAGGCTTCAGCCTTCTAGACCTTCCCTGAATTCCAAAGGGCAGGTTCAAACAGTTCCTAACTAGGGAAGAGAGAGGATGCAGAAACAAAGGAAGAGGAGTCAAGAAACAATAATACCTCGATAAAACAGGGTCCTGGTTCCTCCTTACAGGTAGTGCACAACATACCTTTGAGTCCTTCAGCAAGAACCAGGGCCCCTGCCCAGGTAGAGGATGGTAATTTCAGGCTGAGCACAAGGTCCCTGTTATCTCCCCACCAACCAAATAGAAGGAAGTCATACACACTGCAGCGCTCACCCCGAACTTTGCCTTTAAAAACTCTTCCTGCAAAATGATCAGGGAGCATAGGATTTTTTAGATCATGAACCCCCTGTCTCATTGTGTGTCCCAGCAATAAACCTTTCTCTGTTCCAAACTTCAATGTTTCAGTTGATTTGGTCTCACTGTGAGTCAAGCACGTGAACTTATGTTAAAAAACAGATCCACCTTCAAACAGACTGGAGAGATGCTGGAAGCAGCATGTCCAAGGGAAGAACATGGGCTGTGGATTCTGATGAACAATGATTCAAAACCTTGGATTTTGTAAACTTGGGAAAGTTGCTTCTGTAAGCCATGGATTCCTTGTCTATAAAATAGGGATAACAATATCCACCTCAAGTGGTCACTTTGAAGATCATGTGAGAAAACATTTTGAGCATACTAGGTGCTCTTGCATAGAGAGATAAGAGAGTTGGACCATAAAGAAGGCTGAGCACCAAAGAATTGATGCTTTTGAATTGTGGTGCTGGAGAAGACTGTTGAGAATCCCTTGGACTTCAGGGAACTCAAACCAGTCAATCCTAAAGAAAATCAACCCTGAATATTCATTGGAAGGACTGATGCTGAAGCTCCAATTCTTTGGCCACCTGATGCAAAGAAATGATTCGTTAGAAAAGACCATGAAGCCTGGAAAGATTGAAGGCAGGAGGAGAAAGGGATGACAGAGGATGAGATGGTTGGATGGCATCACCAACTTGACGGACATGAGTTTGAGCAAACTCCAGGAATTGGTGATGGACAGGGAAGCCTGATATGCTACAGTCTGTGGGGTCACAGAGTCGGACACGACAGACTGACTGAACTGAACTGAATCAGATGTCAACATCATCCACCTAGATCCAACCTGTCAGGGATCTGAGTGTGTGTGGGCAGCACACAGATAACTTCTCCCACCTGGCTGGGGTTCCAGTACCGGTAAAACAGCTTCCCCTTGAGAAGGAAATAGGACCTGACCTAAGGCTGCACTATTGTTCCTTGACTTCTCCTCTCTCCTCTCTGCATCTCTTCCCTTCTCTATTAGCAACTGTTTGAACCTGCCCATTAGAAATGAGGGAAGGTTCCCAGAAGTTGATTGAAGCTATTTTCTACAAACAAGAGAACGGAGGACACAGAAAGACTTTTGTGCCCCAGAGCCCCACAGGGTCCAGCTCGGCTTCAGCGTGACTGAATTCTGAAAAAGTAACAGTAACTGGCTCCAGGCCCCCTCTCTTCAAGCCCTACCCTCTTGCAATATTTCCAACTCTGTTTTCTCACATTTTATCTTAACTGTCATCTTCTCTTTCTCTTCAATGTCCTTCCTTAGTTTTATTTGAGTAGGAGGACACCTCCCCATAATCTCAGGAAACAGTATGTAGACTGAAAAAAAAAAAGCATACAACTTAAAAGTTGTAAACTGTGGTTTTTTTTTTTTTTTTTGCAGGGGCGTGGGATTTACTGAGGATACAACCAGGGAAACAGCCTCTCATAGTCTGAGGGATTGCTCCAGAGAGCCAAGGGGAGTCAGGATGTATAGAAGTTTTTACTGAAAAAAATCACATGTAGTCACATGTCAAGAGATGAGTGCTAATCAGACACATACACATACACACACACACAAACCAGACATCTCAAATTAATGACTTTGGTGCTTTTCTACATGTGGGATGATGCAAGAGTCTGCACTCATCAGAATCACTTCTTTGACATGTACCTTATATATCTAGGGCCTGAGAACTGGTTTCCTCTCTCCTCTCAGGCTCACTGCCAGTGGGCTTCACTGGCTGATGACTTGCTGGTGGGCAATGTTCTCTGCTTACTCAAATGACAGGCAACATTTTTTTTGTCAGCAAGTAGCAGACATTTCCTCTAACAATGTAAACAGATAGGGTAGGTGGTCCCTGGAGAAAGAAATCCAGGCATTGTTATTGTTATCGTTCAGTCACTCAGTCGTGTCCAACTCTGCAAGTCCATGAACGGCAGCATGCCTGGCTCCCCTGTCCTTCACTAACTTCCAGAGTTTGCTCAAACTCATGTTCATTGAGATGGTGATGCCATCCGGCCATCTCATCCTCTGTCGCCCCCTTCTCCTCTAGACATAAAAGAAGCCATATTTGGCTTGAGCCTTTCTGTGATATAATCTTGGCCACAGTGCCTGCCCTTGAACAGGTCTCAGTAATCAATGCTTTTAAGGGAAGAGACGGAATGCAGAAACAAAGGCGAAGCAGCCAAGAAACAACAGTGCAGAAGACTTCCCCAGCGGTCCAGTGGTTAAAACTTCACCCTCCAATACACAAGGACGGGGTTGGATCCCTGGTCAGAGAACTAGATCCCACACGCCTCGCAACCAAACACCAAAACATAAAATATAAACAATATTGTAACAAATTCAATAAAACTTTAAAAATGGTCCGCATAAAAAAAAAAAAATCTTAAAAAAAAATCTACAAAAAGCAAAACAAACAAAAACTCAACAGTTTAGTGATAAAACAGAATCCCAGTTCCTCTTCAAGGGAAATACGTAACCATCTCACACAGCCTCTGAGTTCTGTAGGAACTCAGGCGCCCACCCAGGAGAACAACAGTGTGATGATGCAGACTCTCGTGGCTGCCATCAACTCAAGCTTGGACTCTGCTGACCTTTGCCCCAATTCTATGCTGAGTTCACCTCTGCTCAAGCCCCTTCATGAAGATGCATGTAACCTTCAGCGTAAAAGTTCCCCAATTTTACTCTTCCAGAAGGAACTGCTTCGGGAAAGATCCCCCATGTTCTCCTCACTTCCTGAAAGTAATACATCCTTCCTCCGCCCACTCTCTGGCTTGGTTGTATCTTTTGGTTCCACATCCACCTAGAGGCAAACACAGTTTTGGGGGCTAACAATCAGACATGCTGCTTGTGTTGGATTAAGTAGCAAAGTTGTGCACCTTGAGTTATTTGCACATTCCTCTCCATTGCAGTGGTTCACTTGAAAAAGGTCATATGAATGTCCAAGTTTGGGCTTAAAGTGGCTTCCTAGAGAGAAACTTTGTAAGAAGCTATTTAGCAGGCCTTTCACGTTTCACCCAAAGGAGGCTGAGTGTCACAAGCCAGAGTGTGTCAGCGTGGGGTGTGTATTTAAGCAAAGGAATCACATGTGCCGTGGGTGAGAGCGGAAGCCTCGCCCCCCGCCTGGGGTCAGCATCACCCAGGGCCTCTTTGCTCACTGGCACTCAGGGAACCATGACACCACCACCACCAAGGACAAACTGTGACATGCCCACATGAAAGCCCGACGCGGGATTGGCTTCTCCCAGGATGAGGGCCTTAAGGATGATGGATGCCAGCTCCCAGTCAGGGCTCAGGGTGTCAGCCACAGCGCCTTCTCTCAGTAAGTGGAGAAGCAGGGCTTGGGCGCGAAGAGGGATGGGGGGCGGGGGCGGGGGCTGATAAACAACACTCCCCATGGCCTCCCAGAAGGATACCTGCTGAGAAATACAACACACTGGCTCTTTCTTTCTCTCCCCTTGGCCTCAAGAATATTTCCGCTGTTCTGGGGAAAGCAAGACACTTTTCCTAATCTATGTTTTGAGACTGGAGACATGTGTGATCTGAGTTAGAGCCACGCCAGGGTGAGAAGATCCAGAGCAGAGGGGACCTGCAGCCTGGACGCTCCCTCCCAGACACCCGTCCTGCTGCTGTGTTTACAGACTGGAGGTATTTTTATCCCAACCCTCCGAATGAGAGCTAGTTTTCTCTTCACTTGAGTTGTATTCCCAGTGTTTACTTTCTGGAGGCACCGGAGAGAGACCAGGGCCTCGCCACTGCTGCTGGGCACCTGTGTGCCTCGTACTCCCTCCCGGGCACACCCCTACCTACTCAGGGGTTTGGGAAGGGGACTCAGCTCCCCCTGCCCTGTCATTCTCTTTATCTTGGGAGTCTTTGTCCACAGGTGGGAGAAGGAAATGGCAACCCACTCCAGTATTCTTGCCTAGAGAATCCTATGGACAGAAGAGCCTGGTGGGCTGCTGTCCGTAGGGTCACATAGCGTTGGACACGACTGAAGCAACTTAGCAAGCATCAGCAGCTGTCCACTGGTGACAAATTCCAGGGGCCCATCTGTCTCCTGCCTCAGTTGGGTGTAAGGTTGTGGATTGTTGTTGTTTAGTTCCTGCGTGGTGTCTCACTTTGCAGCCCCATGGACTATAGCCCATCACACTCCTCTGTCCATGGGATTCTCCAGGAAAGAATACTGGAGTGGGTTGCTATTTCCTCCTCCAGGGAATCTTCCAGGCCCAGGGATTGAACCTGTGTCTCCTGCACTGCAGGTGGGTTTTTTACCACTGAGCCACCTGGGAATCCCTTTTAAGGTTTTGAATATTCACACAGTTAAATTTATTTTTTGTGCCACTTACAACATCAATACCTTTACTTTCTATTTGGCTTTTTTTTTTTAAATTTAGCTATTAATATCTGGGAAAGTTTGGTTAAATATCAGGCCGTGATTATGGATTTCTCATCATTCTATTTCTGTATTTCCTATGAGCTCACAGGTTTGGGAGCGTCGTGCCATCCTGGTGGACAGCGTGGAGCAAACCTGTGACTTCCACCCTCCTCAGCCTCCACTCCTCCCCGCCCCACCGCTTCAGGCTTCACCAGGAGGACAAGGTTGCCCTTGCTGGCCTCAGGCCTCAGCAGCCTCTTCCCCTCAAGTCCCTGTAGCCCGAGCTGCTCTCCCAGGTAGGCCTGGTGAACGTTCTCCACCAAACACACAGTGCTGTCTGTGAATGAAATCACAGCAAACCACCTCCACACCACGGCCTCTAGCTGGAAGGCCACAGGTCAGTGCTGGCCTCGTGTCACATCTCCTGAGGGCCTGAGGCATGCTGCTTGCTTGAGGCCATGTTAAGAGTGTTGAGGCACATCGATGTCACAATCATAACATATGCTACAGAATCACCTGTAAAGATTTTTCTGAATAAAATAATACCTCTGTGTTTGCAATGATTGAGGAACTCTTCCTGGAGATGTGAAAAGACCTGCATAACCTTTGATGATCACCTTCCATCATTTAACTATCCGTCCAGCAAACGTCACTCTCGTACTGTGTCTGTCCCTGGAACTGAGCGAAGAACTGGAGATAATTCAGGCACAGTTTCCTTCTTCCAGGAGCCTGTAGTCCCGTAGGAGAGACAGAAGGAAAAATAATTGTGCCTTAGGCGTCTAGCAACTCACAGAATGAGCCAGTGTGGATCTCCACTGCTCCGCTGCATCACACAGGGAGATTCTGAATAAAATATAACATGAAAATTAACATGTACATTGAGCTTGCAATAAAGAAATCCTCAAGCGACAGAAAAAGGAAGGAATTTAAAGCCAAAATAGTAAGCCTTCAAACTGGAGCTAATGCACAGTGAAGAGGAGGAGGGTATGCAAAGCCAGGGGAGTAGCTCATGACCCATGAGGACGGGGACAAGCCTAGGACCCATCTGAAGCAGGACTCTGCACCTGAAATTCTGGCTCTAACAGTGGGAGGATGGCTAGGAAAAATCTCCATCCATCATTTTCTGCCGTAGGCTCTGGAAAAGGAAAAAAAAAAAAGGTTCCGTGAAAAACTCAAATTTCCAGGTGTAGGGTGTGAACTTACACTATCTCTCACGGTGTGGGAATCCACAAGGCCCCAAATTAATGTAAAAATTGTTCTCACACTGGGGAAACCTGTGGGCAATGAGTTGAAGCAAACCCACAACTGTTCCTGGTGTGTCCTGAGAGCACAACGGCCCCCAAGAAGGGAACAACACCACAAAGATGCAAATCATAATTTACAAGTCCTGGGAGGAGACGGCCCGCCTCACACAGAAGCAGCATGCGACCAGCAGGGGAATCAGCCATGAACCCTGAGATGAAATCATCTAAAAGGGACAATAAAATAAGTTGCCTTACAAAGTGCACAGAGATAAGAGGGCTAGAAATCACGGAGGAACACAAGGGCACTGGAAAGATGAGGCAGACAAGAAAGAGCTACGTGGGGAGTTAGTAGGGGCTTCTGTGGTGGCTCAGTGGTAAAGACCCCACCTGCAGTGCAGGAGACCTAAGAAACCTGGGTTCGATCCCTGGGTTGGGAAGATCCCCTGGAGGAGGGAATGGCTACCCACTCCAGTAGTCTTACCTGGACAGAGGAGCCTGGGGCTACTGTCCATGGGGTTGCAAAGAGTCAGACACGACTGAAGTGACTTAGCATGCATGCACTTGCAGAGTTAGTAGAAATGAAACCTTTAGGAGTAAAAAAAAAAAAAAGAACTCCATGAAGTTGACTGGGGACTTCCCTGGTGAGCCAGTGGCTAAGACTCTGCACTCCCAATACAAGAGGCCTGGGTTCCATCCTTGATCTGGGAACTAGATCCCACTTGCCACAGCTGAGAGTTCACACGCCACAGCTAAATATCCCACATGCTGAACCGAAGACCCAGGGCAGCCAAATAAATAAAATATAATTTTAAAAAATTGACTGAAAGAAAATTAATGAAGTGAGAGATCTTAGGAAAGTATGCAGGTTCAGACACAGAGAGGTAAAGACATGAAAATTTGAAAAAGATGCTAAGACTTGTAAGAGAGGATAAGAACTATAGAGGAATAAAATAAGAACAAGGAAAAAGCAGTAAGTGAGGAGACAATGACTCAGAAAGCCCCAGAATGGATGAAAGGTACAGATCCTTAGTTTGAGGAGGCATCCTATGTAAGTGCCCAGGAGAGAGAAATGTCTCCTTTCGTTTAGTCGCCCAGCCTGACAGGCCATCTCTAGACATAACATGGTGAAGTATCAGAACCCAAGACTAGAAGAAACATCCCACAGTTAGGTACACTGAAAAGACAGGACATCTACAAGGGAACAACAGCAGTAAGACAGGCTGGAACAAAAGGAAAGAACTGCTCCAAAGAGCTGAGGAAATGAGAGAACAGTCCAGGATTCCTCTCCCGCTAAACGAGGGCTCAGGAGTAAGGGTAAAAACAGGTGACAGCTGATCGGCTGTTTATATGGTGAAAGAAATACTCGAGGATGATCTAAAAGAAAAGGAGAAAATGACCCAAAAGGAAGCTATGGGTGAAAGTAGCAAAGAGGAGCAAAAACCTTGCTGAGTAGGTGGGCAATCTGCAGGCAAGCACTGGCTCTAAAAGCAGATGATAATAATAATAACCTAGCATGTGAGTTTGAAAAATAAACCTAAAATACTAGGCACTAGTAACATTAAAATCTATGGTTAGAAGAAACGTAGAGCATAGGGAGGACAGCAAATGTTTAACTTAAAGTTAGACTTTTGGAATTAAGAGTGTGGAGTTGGAACATTCAGGGTGCTCCTTAAAAGAAGTGCATGGCTTCCAGATCAATTGAGCAGGTGAAGGGTCCCTGCAAAGAACCTGCGTGCCAGGCAGAGCTTCCTAATGCATCCGGAAGGAGATGAGTTTAGGAAGGCTTTCTAACAGGGGAGCGAGTCCTACCTTTACCCTCCCCACCCATCCTGGGCAGAATTAACCACTTACTCCTATATTCCAAAGCATCTTGGCGGTATCTCTGTGCAGGGGATTCTCTAGGCCAAGAATACTGGAGTGAGTTGCCATTTTCTCCTCTAGGGAATCTCTCTGACCAGGGATCGAAACTGAGTCTCCTGTGTCTCGTGCATTGCAGGCAGATTCTTTACCCACTGAGCCATCGGGAAGCTCTAAATAGTGTCTATCATAGCTTATCATTATTTACATAGGTGTGAATGGTATGCAATTGTCTTTCTTCTGGATCCTTAACACCGAAGGGGAAGAAACATTTCAGTGTGACGCCAGGAGCTTTCTGTGAGTAGTAGGGGGTGCCAGCTCTGTCCTCCCCCAGCTTCGGTTCCTCCCTCCGGTGATGGCTGCCTGGACCTCCCAGGCCACTCTCCACCTGCTCAGGGAACCCAGTGCCTGGGAGTCAGCCGTCCCTGGTGGGGAGGGGCTTCTGTTGCAGGAAGATGAAGCCTGCCCTTCCTGGCTTCCTGGCTTTCGCTCCAGGGTCCGCTAAGGCTGGGGATGGGGCTTTGCCTGAAAGGCACACTTTCCCTCCCTTCCCTAACTGCTCACCAGCCTCTGACTATCCCGAGGAGCACACTCCTCCACACAAATCCTCAGCACCCCAGGGTCTGATTCCTACTCACCTGGGAGGAGGCTGGGGTCCTCAGTTATCCTAACTCTGCCCCAGCCAAGGTCAGAAGTTCAAATCTTTCCAACTCTTTTCTTTTGTCCCCTCCCCACCCTCCTCCTTCCCATCCCCCTCCTCTTTTCCTTCCTCTAGGAGCAGATGAGTCACCATCTTCCAGGGCTGGTCTGGGCTGGACTGGGCTGGTTCCAAAGACCCCAGAGTCGTCCACCGAGCCGTCAGTCCTGGGTTAAATCCTCTCAGTTCCCTGCGTTTTGTTTTCCTAGTTCTTTCATGAGAATCACTTGGTCTTCGGTCTCTCAGTGGTGTTCTGTGATGATCTATATAAAACAACAGGCAGGAATGAATTTTGGAAGAAGGAAAGGCAAAGGGAACATGTACAGAGGATGGGTGTTCTGTGCGGGGAGGTAGAGAAAGTTTTCCAGCCTCCTCCTCCCCTTGGCTGGAAGCCCTGATGTGTGAATGCCGGGGCCTGGCTGAGGAGGGCCGCCGGTCCCTCTGCAGGGCTGGGAGCACTAATAGCAAGCGGGAGGATTAGCCATATGCCACTTAATTCCTGTTAATCAGGATTGAGAAGAGCTTGTGCTTGTAAGTAACAGCTGAGCCGCCATCAAGGCGCTCAGGCTCCCCGCCCCCACATTCTCAACCCCTCCCACCTCCCCGCCCTGCCCGGGGTTGGTCCTCCTCCGGCCCGTCTCAGCTTCCATCCCCTCCCTCCTCATCTGAGATTTCAACATGGTCTTTGTTCCCAAGTTCTCCGCCGGGCTCCCAGTCCCCAGCCGCTGCTCCCACCTCTGTGGTTTAGTCCTCCCCTCCTCTCTCGCGGGTCCTCCCCCTTTTCGAACACCCACAGCTCAAGCTCCACGCTAGTTAGTGTAACTTTTGTTCTTGCATCAACAAACTCCCTGACCGTTGGCTGACTTGCGAAGGCAAAGTTCAAAGGCAACCGTTCCTGGCTCCTGTGGGCACAGGCGCGTCTCCCTCATCCCTGACCTCACAGAAGATTCCAAACTCTGACTCCCTGTCCTCAGAGCTGAGGACAGGCTGTCCTATTTCTGCTCCACACCCAGGTCCAGTTCCTCTGTGCGGAGCTCCGAGCCAGCCTGTGTGAGATGGAAGCAAATCTCCCACCCAAGGTCAAAGGGTGTGCAGCTCACCTTGGGCGGGGGTCAGCATCACCCTGGGTCCCCTGTCTCAGGGTGTGTGCATGCGTGAGTGCGCGTGTCCACGTGTGTGTTCATGCACACACACTGGCACGCATCTACCTTCCCACGAAGAGCGATGCCTGTGAGATAATGCGCACGAACTCTGTGAGAAGCCCCGTGTGAGAAGTGTGGGGCGGTGATGTGTGTGTGTGGGGGGACTTGGTGCTGGCAAGAGGACAGACCTGTGTGCACAGATGTGTCTGAGCCGTGTTTTGCAGAAAGCTGTTGAGAGGGGGTCTGGAAAATGACATTTGTAGAAATGCATATTTAACCACAGAAACAAACTGAGGTGGGCGAAGCGTGGACTTTGGGAAGGCTGGGTTCTGGATGAAAAACAAGAGAGGAAGCTTATTAGACGCATCCAAACCCTCACCGGATAGCCCCTTCAAATGTCCGATTCTGCGGCAGCAGCAGACATCCAGGGTTTGGCGTTTGTTTCCAAGAAGCTTATCAGGCTCAGAAAAAGGGCATCTTTGACCTTGCCCAACCCCCACTCTCAAACGCCAAGGTCACACACACATCCCTCCTGCAGCACACCTCACCCCAAGCCCCCCCCCCCCCCCCCCCNCAAGATCCAGTCGCATGTTCCTAGATGGCTGACAAATGAGAGGAAGGGGCTGAGCGCAGCCCTGGTCTGGTTCTCCCCGGCCAACCCGAAGTGGCGGCCTCGGGACAGCTGCCCCACTGCCGCCCGGACAGCAGGTGTCGGCCACTAGTGGGCCAGCCGGGCGCCAGGCTCATGGCGCCACCTCGTGGCCGCTCTCACCATCACAGCCCCAACGCCAGAGTGCTGGTTGGTCCTCCTGGCTGGGCACTGGTGCTGGTTGTGCTGGTTGGGGGCTTCCAACCCAGGTGTTTATTCTGTGCCCACTGTTCAGAGGGAGTTCTGGGGACCCACGTGCACGCAGCGCAGAACCAGACAAGGTTAACCCTGGAACTCACGGGTCTGCCATCTGGATGGGGTGGGGAAGAGGCTGTGGGCCAGCTGGGAGAATTCCAGGTATTTCAGGCTGGACTGCGCTGGGCTGGTCCTTCACCCAGGCCTTGATATGACTTTTGTCCCCTCTTAGGCATTTCCATACCCATCTGAAAATGCAGGACTAAGAGCAGGGCAGCCTGCACTGACTGACAGCCTGGGGTCTACCAGCCAGGAGGGGGGAGCCCGCCTCTGGCAGGGGAGAGGGGAGTGGGCCCTGGGGAGGGGCCCAAAGCCTGGAAAGGGGCACCTCCCAGCCTAGGGCTACAGAAGGAGTGCTGATGTTGAACTCAGATTGCTTTTCTACTAATTCAGTGACACGGAGAGAATTCCTTAGCCCCTCTGGGCCTCGCCTTAAATTTCTGAACCACCTGTTACAAAGCCCCCCTCTATTTGTGTTCAAGCCACACCCACCACCATCAGGTCGTCTTTTGTGTTACCAGTCACACAGGTCTATTCTTGTCCCCCAGACATCACTGGCTCTTAAACTTTGCTGGTGTCATTATGTTTGCTTGCAATGATCCCCCCTCCTCGTCTGTACCTCTAAATTCCACCCACCCCCACGGTGAACCCAAATTCCACTCCTTCCCTGAAGCTTTTCTTGGTCTTCCCACTTGCACATCCCTTCCTTTATTCTCTTCTGGACCAGCCCTGGACCTCACTGACCTTTCCCTTGGGTGATGCCTCACACACGCCTCCTTTCATCGTACGTCCCCTGCCAGGTAAGCAGCTCCAGTAGTGGACATGATCTTTACTTATCTTCACGAGGCCCGCCTGGCCCTGCTCTGGCCACACTATGTGCTGAGCAGACCCTTAGTGAATGAAGTGGGATGTCCTTCTTGTTCCTATGCCAGCTTAGATGTCATTTCTCCCAGTAAGTTTCCGTGAACCCACCACCCGTCCCACCCCACGCCTGTTGCTTCTGGAACCTGCCTTCTCCCCCCGACAACCTTACTTAGTGTTTGGCCGCAGCTGCCTCCTGGCCTGTCTCACCAATGTGGTGATGAGCTCCTTGAGCAAAGACTGGTCTTCAGGTCACCGTTGTCCGGACTGTTCATGGCACATGGCAGGAGCCTGGTAATGACTGGTGATGGAACAGATGGATCCAGGTAGGGATGCGTGGTGGTTGTTGCTTAGTCGCTAAGTCGTGTCTGGGTCTTCTGTGACCCCATGGGCTGCAGCATGGATGGGTAATTCTCTGTAAACGAGGAGGGCAGGGAAGGGGAAGGGTTGTCTTGAAGACCCCTTTACAAGCTAGTATGAACTTCTTGGAGGGAGAGTTGCCTTGGCTACTTGAGAAACCACACAGCCATCTTGGTGGGGTCCAGAGGTGGCTGTCCCTTGAATGGACGTTGTTGGCTTCCGTGGGCATCTGGCCTCCTACTTCATGGGGAATTTCGTGTTCCCTGGGCTCAGCCTGGCCCAGAACTTGGCAAGATCTCTGGGGCGTTCGTTTTGTCACCAGCCCCGGTGGGAGGGTGGACGGGTGGGTGGGAACCGTTTTGGGAAAGAGTGTTGGGGAGTGTTTGTGTGTGTGATGAGTCAGGGCCAGGGAGCTAGTGAGGAGCCCTAATCTCTGCCCCCTCTCTGTGGGGGGAGTTCTCACCCCTTGGAGGGGGTGGAGGGCCACCAACTGTCTTTGGAAAGTTTTCTTAGTCATAGCTTCTACCAAGTCAGCTGGCGCTTATGTAACGGGGCCTCTGTTTTACAGACAATGGGGTCCGATGGGCCAGAATGGATGCTGCCCCCCTTCCCCCAAGTGGCTCCAGTCCCTCCTACCTGCCGGTCAGGCAGCGGCACCCTGAGGGAATAGCACTGGGACATCTGATCCCACTGGAAAGGGCTTTAGGTCTCTTCACAGGCCCCATGGGGAGGCCATCATTTCCCTCCTGTTAGTCCAGCACCAGGCGGGGCTGGGGGAAGGAAGGGCCACCCCCCCCCCAACCCCTGTGCCCTCTGACTCTGGGTCTGCCCAGGCCCCAGGTGAGGCCAGGGCCGGCTCCCAGGTCCCTAGCTGTTGTCGTCTTATGGCCTCAGTCTCCAGGCTGAGGGATACAGATTTGAATTTCCTGTCTCTGACACCAGAGTCCATTTGCTTATCACAACACAGTCCTCTCAGGGGCCCAGATAAGGCCTGAAGTGGTTGTGTGAACAGAGTGGGGAGGGTTAGGTGCTGGTGGCTTGGCCCGGGGAGGGACGGGGGCCCTGGGCCCTGGGAGAAAGCAGTGCTCGGGGACCCGGGGGGTGCTGGGGGAGTCAAGGGCCTGACACTGGCTTCTGTGGGGGCACCTGGGGGCCCTGGATTGCTGTCCTTTGCTCTTTACTGGAGGAAAGTGGTCTTTCTTGTGCCTCAAGTGCGGGGTTTGCACGCTCTGGAAAAGGTGGGCAAGTGAGGAGGGGTGTTTTTTGGAGGCGACTTCCCAGGAGAGGGAGGGACAGGGGACAGGGGAGCTGAGGATGACTGTTCCAACTGTGAGACTGGCCACTCTTACCCTGTGGCCTATGTGGGGGCCAGATATGCTGTGGACAAGAGAGTTGGGGGTGGGGAGAGCTGGGAAGGAGATCTGGGGGTGGCGGGGAGCGTGGTGGGGGAGAACTAGTTGGGGATTTGCGGGAGCCTCCTTTTTACCTTCAGCCCCTTCCTCCATGCGAGGAAGTTTCATGGGGGCTAGAGCCCACTTTGAGCCCAGGCGGCAGAGCCAGAAGGAAAGACCTTGAGGGGCCCTGAGATGAGCGGGACCTGCTGAGAAAGAGCTGGGTGGGGATCAGACACGGAGGCAGTGAGAAGAACGGGGGTTCCCATGCTGCTCTGAACCAGGCCGGCGGACCCAGGTGGAGAGGGACACACCCCAGAGGAGAAGACACCATCCTCTCTTCTGTCTGGGTGCCTAGTGGTGAGAGACACACAACAGAACTTTCTAGGTCCTGTCGAGCAAGTCTGGGGAGACCCAGGACGGGAGGCAGGGACAGGAGAGATGGAGAAGGAGGAGGAAGGACAGAAGAGCCCGCCAAACAGCAGGGCCACGATCTGTTCCACCGTCACACAGAGTCCCCAGGCTCTCCTGCCTTCTCTGCAGCTCAGGGACATAATCCAACAGGCTAGCTAGGGCTTGGGGGAAGCAGCCAGGAGCCAGGACCCGGGCTCTCAGCTCTCATGCGGGCCATCCCTGGCCGGGAGCCGTTGTGCAGTCCATCTCCTCCAGCAAGTCTTCCTTCCTGGAATGCAGCTGTCCCGGCCCTCCTTCTGNGGGGGGGGGGGGGGGGGGGGGGGGGGGGGGGGGCAGGTTGCATAGAGCAGAGGTCCTGTCTGCACATCAGAACCCGAGCCTGGCTGAACCCCTGGCTCTCCCTGTCACCCCGGCCCTGACGTGTGTCCCCTTCTTCAGAGGCAGGGCTTACCTGGGGGTGTGGGCGAGGCCCCTGGAATAATGGTGCCAGAGCATCTGGTTCTGCGGCTTCCCACGGAGTCAGTTCTGGTTTTCAGGCACCACTACGACCTCACACGTCTGATCCCGTTTGTCCCAGACAGAGACAGCGTGTTCCAGTGATGCTGGCCTCCTCCTCCTTGTACCATGAACAGCCTCTGCTCAGCCCCATTTTCTTGCCCATAAATGTCCTCCCACCTCCTGCACAACAAGCACGCGGCACCCGCACGGCCTCGTGGAGTTCCGCCTCCTCCCCAAAGCCTTCCCTGAGGTTCTAACCCACTCACATCGCTTCCTCCTCTAACTTCCGGTGCTTCCAGCCAGTGCCTGGAAATTTTAACTTCGAAATCATAGACTGGTAGAATTTGGGATCTGGAAGAGCCCTGACAAACGACCCCTGTCTGTTGCTCTTCATCAGGATGGTAGAGAAGTAACAAGACATTGATAAGCAATCTCTGGTTCTCCCCGACAGACATCACGAATTAACCACAGCCTCAGAATCCTTCTCAACACAGCGTTCCAGGGAGAAGTGCTGCCGCCGTCCTTAACCCGGACAGTCAGGGGTCATTTCAGCTGCAGTGCGGATGAGGAAACTGCTTCAGGTCCCAGGCGCATGGGCTGGAGCTCTGGTCTGGTCCTCACTCAGTGCTCCTTGGACCATCTGGGCCTCTGTTGGTCTCCTGCTTGTCCTCTGCCCTCCGGATGAAGTGACATCTTAAACTGCTCTGGCATCTGGTCAGGATGCCTCCACCTGCTCACCTGCTGATGGGGAGGCCAGCTGGGGTTTCTTCTCATGTCCTGTAACTTGTCTTCATGTCCTATAACTTGTCTTCAGTGCCTGTGCAAAAGGGCAGGGAAACGGGCTAAAGGAGGCTCAGTCTGCGTGCTGATCAAGCCCACCCAGGATCCATGTTAGCCCTCTGTATCTAGCAGGCATGGAGCTCCAGTCCCTGGGAAACTGCAGAGGGCACTGGCCTCAGGGCTCAGAGCTATCCTCCTCTTCTGTCTGCTGAGGGGCTCTGTCTCCATCCATTCAAGGGGCTGCAGGAAGAATGGGAAGAAATCAGATGCCCACTTCTCGGGCCCCGGGGTGTGGAGGGGAAGGGGTCTCTGTCCTGGGGAGGAGTCAGGACACTGGTGTGAAAGGGACACGGCTGACGTCCAGGTTGCTGGAGGGACTTTCGCCCCAACTAGGACTCCTAGAGGCTAAATAGGCTTTCCCCTCCCAGTCCTACAAACTAGAAGCTTCGGCACCCCCTGACCCCACTGGGCCCTCCCTCCCAGCCCCGGCCAGTTCTCTCGGTCCCCCTCCTGACCTCCCCACCACCCCAGGCTACCCTCACAGCACCTTGCTGATCTGCAGGTCCGCAGGCCCCTAACTGAGCTCTGTGGTCATGCTGCAACTTTGCTGGAATTTTTCTCTCTAGAACTTAGATTTCCTTGAGTCATCCTCTGCTTCAGCTCATCATCACCTCATTGTCTTCAAGAGGAAGGTGAGCTCCTGGCCCGGGGTTCCCAGCCTCTGTAGAATTTGCCTCTTGAATTGCATGCTCCACTGCACAGGGGCGTCCTGTCCTCTGTACAGTGTTAGCAAAATTCCTGTCTCAATCAGCTAGAGGCCAGTCTCCCCCTCCCCTGCAGGTTTCACCAACCAAAATGTGTCTGGACACTGCAAGACGTCCCCTGGGGCACAATCGATTGAGAACCATCTTGGCTGACAGATCAGGCTGATAGTAATGACTAATAAGTTAGTGTGTTCTTCACCCTTCCCCAGGACTAATCTTCAGAACCTCCCTGTGGGGCGACCCTATTAACATCCCCATTTTATAGATGCGTAGAAGGCACCCGCTTGGAAGGGATTCAGATCTTTCAAGAAAGCTGAAGATTTTCCCTTCTGTGTGGGGTGAGAAGAGAGGAAGATAATTCAAAATATCTCCTCCTGGAGGCCAGGCTGCCGAGCCAGAGTTAAGGCAGGGTTTGAAACCAGGCCGCCTGCTGGAAGGCCTTCACCAAAAGCGACTCTAGCCTCAGTGCAGGGTGGGGAGAGCGGTTTCCCAAGGCAGCGCAATCAGGAGCGCCCTACCCCTCCTCTCCCTCTCTTTCTTGGCCCGCTTCTCCGAGCAATGGCCAGGCCCACAAGATTGGGCACAAGCTGACCCAGGACATCTGGACCACTGTTGGGTTGGGGAGGGGGCTCTAAGTGTCTTCAGTAGTGGGTGGGCCAGGCTGGGTGAGTCTCTGGAGAAGCCCAGTTCTTTTTCCCTATTGACAGTCAGGGCAGAGGAAAGGCTTCCTGAGAAGACATCAGAGTTTGGGGTGAGGCTGTCTGGGCAGAGAAGAGTGAAGATGCAGGGGCCAGGGCCACTCCCAAGACAGGGGCCCAGGACTGTGTCCGTGGCCACATATTCATGTGAATGTGCCCACTGGTGGGTGTGAGGGGCTGCGGCCTGGGAACAGGCAGAGGTCAAGGTGAAAATGCAGAGTTACACTCCAGCCCCATCAGACTTCCTGCGATGGGGTGGGGGTGGCGGTGCACAGGGGTGGAAGGTCAGGGACCTCTGTGGCCTGAGCACACTTGTTCCTATGCACGAACCAGAGCTGGGTGGCCTCTGTGCACCCACGGACCTCCGCTGGCACTGTCTCTGCACCCCAGGGGTCCCCTCTTGGCCCAGTCTTTTCACACGGGCACACACAGCTTTCACTGCCCCCAAATTCCTCCACTTCTGAAAAAGACAAGGGGAGAAAAGGGCCAGGATACAAGAAGAGATAAAAATAGCTGAAAATAAGCTCTTTGGATCAGAAAGCTCCCTTTTTCAGTGAGTCACCAGTTTTCCAGACTGAGCACACACACACACACGCACATACACACACATTCCGCACAAAACACAAGCACGCAATCCCGCCTTCAAGTCGTGCGGGAATCCTCGCACAGACCCTCGATCATGCTCTGTCCTCAGAGGTAAAATCACCCCCAAAGTTGGGGGGTCCTGTGGGCTCTGGGGAGCTTGGCAGGCAAAGCCCCCACCCAGACCCCTGCCCCTCGCCCTGTGCTCAGCTTCTTCTGACTCCCCTGCGTTTCCTGGTCCTCCCTGCAATGGGGCGCACAGAACGGGTGCAATGGAATGGGTGGTCAGGCGGGAGCCTCCGAAGCTGGAGCGGGCGGAGGAGCCGGCTGGGACCAGGCAGGGTCTGCGAGCAGCTCTGGTAACTGCATTAGTGTCTCTGCTGGGGCACCGGGGCCTGGCCTCTACAAGGCGAGGCGAGCAGACCTAGTGGGCACAGGGCTGAGCGTGTGCGGCCTCCTGCTAACAAGAGAGGTCTCCCCCGCTCAGCTGCAGTCGTCAGCTGGGCAGGATGGCCCTCCTTCCTGGGTTCCTCCAGGTTCCTCAGGTGCAGACAGCGGCCTGGATGGACAGCAGCCCATCTTCCAGGACTCACTGCCTCTGTCATTGTTTCTCTCCCCCTGCCCACCCCCACCTGCCTTCCCTTCTTCTCTCTCTCTCTCTCCCCTGAAGTCCTTCCCTCCGTCCTCTCTCCACCTCCACCCCTGTTGTGTGAAGCCCGAATCGGCTTCATTCCAGGCATTGAAAGGAATCCGGTCCCAAGGGACCCCTCCCCCCTCTCCCCAGGAGCATGACCGCTCCTCCCTCTGAGCCTCTGGGGTCCCAAGGCCCCAGGACTTGGCTGGGCATCATGTCCCCGGGCCATTTCAGGTGGCGGCCAGAGAGGGTTTACCTGAAAATTCGGAGCAAATCTGAGGAAACGGCTCTGAGTCTTGTGACGTGAGCTGTGTCCAGGCTGAGCCCGTAGAGGCCAGGGCTGGGCCCCCACGCTGGTCTCCCGGGGGCAGCTCTGGGATCCTGTGTACTCCTCCCCAGCCCTTGGTGTCTTACCTGGCTCGGACCCCACTGTGCTTCAGTGGGATCTCCACTGGGGCTGCTGGCTCTGTGGGTTTGGTGAGTTTTGTCTCTGGGCCTTTGTTTCTTCGACTGTCAAAGAAAATACCACCACCATCACCTGCATCATCAGGTCCTTTTATGTCTCTGGTGCTTCAAATAGTGAAACAGGTCCCTGGCAAGCACGTAAGTGCCAGGTCAGCTGGCTGGGCCTTTCCACGCCTCCTTCCCCTCGAGAAGCATGGCCCAAGGAACCCTTTCCTTCAGGAGTTTCTGGGGCATCAGAGTCAAGATTCAGGACCGGAGTTTTCCTGTCTCCCCTGGGGGGAGTCTCCTATCTCTCCCTGGGGGGTCTCCCATCTCCCCTTATGGGGGTCTCCAATTCCCCTTTGGGGGGTCTCCTTCTTCCCTTGAGGAGTCTCCCCTTGAGGGTTTCTCTCATCTCCCCTGGGGGTCTCCTATCTGCCCTTGGGGAGCCTCCCCTTGGGAGGGTCTGCCATCTCTTCTTGGGGGGTCTCCCATCTCACCTTATGGGAGTCTCCCATCCCCCTTTGGGGGGTCTCCTGTCTCCCCTTGAGGGGGTCTACCATCCCCCTTTGGGGAGGTCTCCTGTCTTGCCTTGGGGGTCTTCCCTGGGGCGTCTCCCATCTCTCCTGGGTTGTACCACTTTGGGCAGCATGAGTGTTGCCCACTTCTGCCCCCTCCTGCCTGTACGTCCCCTTCACAGCTCTGGCCCAGGCTGCGCTGGACACGGCCAGACAGGAGGCTATTTTTAGCCCCAGACAGAAACAGCAGCTGTGCAGCCAGGACGCAGAGCTTGGCTCTCCAATGGAGGGTCCACTCCCCAGGCAAGCCTGAGGAAGGTGGGTACAGGGGGCCTGGGACCCCAACTCTGCGTCCTCCCTCCTTGGAAGGCAGCTCACGTCTCACCCCCCACCATGAACTGCTCTCTGGCCCCCTCCCCCAGTGTCTTAATCCCCAGGGGGCTTAGTGGCTGAGCTGCAGAGGCTGCAAAGTGGGACAGGGAAGGTAGAGGCCAGGGGCTGCAGCCAGTGTCCTGAGGCTGGGCATGCTGTTCCTCGCCGCACTCGGAAGTCTCTCTACAGCTGAGCACTGAGACGCCCGAGGTCTGGGCTCTGAGATGCTCTGGGCATAGCTGCCCCGCTGCAGGAAGCTCTCCCCTCCTGTCTGCAAGAGCGAGCCCCCACCACCCCCCACCCCACCAAAGATCTTGGGCAGTAGTGGTATGCCTCACAAAATGTGTCAGGAGGTCTGCATTTGCCTTGATCTCCCCAAGGTGATCAGTACTTCACAGCAGACAAAAAGGGTCCTGAAAAATCAGCACTGAATCATCAAATAATTCTTGCAATTCCTGAGTCACAGCTTCTGTATAACTGTGACTCTTGTCATGGTTGCAGTTCAGGTAGTGGTGGGCAGATCAAGACATTAATCACATTTCATCTGCTCAGGCCCCCACCCAGGCTCTGAGGATCCCTTCGAGAGTGAACAAGAGGGCCAGAAACTTACCCTGGAGGAACTTAGATCCTGCAGCTTAGAAGCTCTTTCACATTGAAAAAAAATACACGCATAAACCCAGGGAACAGGAGCCCAACCCCTCTCTGTCTGTAAATGCTGCAAAGACGCTTAGCAACTGGTTGCGAAGATCTGATTTCTCTGGAGTCCGGATTCCTGATGCTTTTAGCCAACGACTCTCAACCTTTCACATCCTGCAGCTCTTTGTAAATCGATTAAAGCTGTGAGCTTCTCTCCAGAAAAATGTCCAGAGCACAGACACTCAGATGTCTGCCTACGATCTGAAGGGCTCACAAAGCCCAGGAAGCTGACGCAAGGACCTTGTGCTCACAGGGCCCCGTTTGAAGAGCAGGAGGCAGCTGCGTGGCGGGCGCTGATGGCTCCACCGCAGCGTTTCCCAGCAAGAGGCGTGTGGCTGAATTTTAATCACAGTGCAGATTAGGGCCCAGACTGTCTAGCCTTCAGAAACATTTCTAAGTTCTACCAAACTATAGTTAGTAGTTAAGAATCTGCCTGCCAATGCAGGGGGCACAGGTTCAGTTCCTGGTCTGGGAAGAAGATCCCACATACTGCGGGGCAACCAAGCCGGTGTGCCACAGCTACTGAAGCCCGCGCCCTAGAATCTGTCCGCAGCAGCAGAAGCCACCGCAGTGAGAAGCGTCTGTACTGCAACTAGAGAGTAGCTCCTGCTTGTCACAACTAGAGAAAGCCCACGTGTACCATCAGAGACCCAGCACAGCCCAAAGTAAATAAATCCATAAAAAAGAAAACCCATTTGTAAAAACTTCTAACACCTTATATCTTGGTGGTGGCCTAATGAATTCTATGACCTTGGCCAAACCCCACTTTCTCTGGGGTCTCAGTTTTCTCATCTGTGGAATAAGGGGGCCGGGCTCTGAAATGGAGCTGAGGGTCCTTCCAGCTTGGATATGTCTAGAATATCTGTCGTGGCCCCTACAGGTCCGTCCTTCACTGAGGGGTTGGGGAGGAAGTGCCCCCAGGTGGAGGGCTGGGACCTGGGCCAGAACCGGAGCCCTGGGGAGGAGACTTGGGCGGCTGGTGGGAGCTGTGCTCTCGGCCACCCGGACCCCCTGAGGCCCCTGAGGCCCCCCCCCACCCCCCCGCCGTGTGAGTCACTCTTCTGCCCCTGCCCCGCTGCTGGTATTAGGATTTATCACCTGTCCCCTCTGCTCTGGTCCTGAGGCTGAGGCCACCTGTTCTGACAGTTCCCTGGGGCCAATCCCATGCATCCCCAACTGATGGAGGGGGAGTGGTAATGGGGCAACCTCCTGGGCAGCCATCGCCAGTGCAGGGAGGCGGTTCTAGCCTTCAGCCTGGAGCACCTGCTGGGGAAGTCAGGAGGGCAGGGCAGCCCAATTGCTCCAAGGCCCTGAGAGGGTGCAGCTCTGGGCTGCCCCAGGCACAGGCAGGTCCTGGCACCACCCTGACCTTTGAATTCCTGGCCCAGCGGGGCCCAGGGGCTCCAGTTGCTGAGTGACAAGATCTGCAAACTCCAGTCCCTCCTTCTGAATCCACGCCACCTTTTCCTTCCTCTTCCCTGGCCTGGCCTCCTCAGCACTCCTGGCTGGAATTTAAATGTCATCAGCTCTGACCAACCCGCTCAGGTCCTCTGCTCAGGTCTTCTGCAGAGGTGGGGGTGAGTGGGGGTGCTGCTCAGGGCTCAGGTTCACTCACCTTTTCATCTTTTCATCCTGGGAGGAAGACCCCCTGAGGTCCCTGGTGTCGGAGAACAGAGGTGCCTGACTCAGCATCTTAGTGGCAGTGCCAGGAAGTGCCCTGGCCCAGGTGAGTCACTTTCCTTTACACACTTGCTCCCCGGCACTTACGCACAGGTACATGTGTGCACACCAACGCATAGGCGTTAATAGAGGACACTTGCGTGAACTGTCTGCACAACTTCCTTCTCACCAAATTCTGGCCCTGCTCACATCACGCAGGGAGAAGTCCCTCCCTCCTTGTGACGTGCATCTTCCAGACCCGAGTTTGCCGCGGGTAGAGGATGAGGTGCACGCTGCATGGTGACCTCCAGCTCTCATGCTCACCCTTCCCAGCTCACCTTGAAAATATGCCATGACGTGTGTGCTCACACGATCCCCACCCCTAGTCCCCTCTCTCCCAGGCCCCGTGCAGGGTACCAATCCACCCACTACTGCCCCCTCTTTCCTCAAGCAGCGTCCTTGGGTCACAGGTCTTCCCCAGCATCTTCCTGCTGAGTCTCTTCCTGTGGAGCTGAGGAGGGGAAGCAGTGAATGTGGGGGAGGAGGCTGGGAGCCTGGGCTCTCTGCTCAGCCCAGCTCATAATAAGTTCCATTGCTCATTTATCTCTGGGCAACCTCATGTGCCTTGTGAGGCCATCAATAAACAGACTCTTAAATCCAGCCTCACTTTCCTCATCCATGAATTGGATTAAAACATCACTTTATCTCCTTCAATCATGGCAATGTTACAGGAACCAAACCTGATATGCAAGGAAGCAGCCTGGCAAGTGTGACACGCATGACCCATGGGTGGTCCCACAAGTGAAGTCCAGTCCGAGATTCGACCAAGCATTTTCCCAGCGTGAGTGGGTCCCAGAGCCGGTCTTGCCCAGGGGCCCCTGGTCCAGGGCTCAGTGAACAAAGCAGAAATTTCATTTCTAGTCATCCTTCCTTCCTGCTGGTTTCACTCTCTTCTTCACTCTTGTCTGCCACAGACAGGTCCTGGCTATGGAGCCAAGGTCTTAGAAGGGCCAGGAGGGCCTGGCATGGAGCCCAGCATCTGTCCTGGCACGTGGGTTGCTGTGGTCCTGGCTCCCAGGCTCCTGAGGGCTTGTGCCTGGGAGGGCTCCTCTCAGCCCCTGGGCCCTGGGGCCATGCCAAGCAGCTGAGTCCAGAACAAGAGGCCCTGTGGCATGAGGAGGCCTGCACGCTGGGCTGGCTGCTATTACCTCTGTGCCATTCCAGCTCCGTGGCCCTGAGGCAACCCCGACAGCACCTCGACCTCTAAGCCTGGTGTGGGAAGGCCAGATTCTGCCCAGCCTGCCTCGGGGCCCTGAGCCACGGTGGTTGGTACAGGCGAGGGTAATGAGAGGAGGTGGTCAGGGTGCTGGGGCTGATGTCAGCTTTGAGAGAAGGCCAGCAACTGGCCTTGAGCAGGTTTTTGTCCCCAGGAGCACGTGAGCGGCGATGGGGCCACCCTGTGGGGGTGCTCTCTGGCCCTGGGGCTCAGAACAGTCCCAGATTCAGCTCAGAGCCTTTATTCCTTTAGCTCAGTGCTGCAATCCCAAGGTAGCGCTTGGCTTGCTGTTGGCCTCCCGCAGCACTATTTAGAGAAGAAATTCCACTGGGACACCTGGTATTTTGCAGATGAACATTTCTGGACTTGCTCTGGGTAGAGGAAGGCTGAGGCTGGGGTGCCAGGAAATAGGCTCCCCTAGGTGGATGCGGACGTGATGGACAAGGGCCCCAGGTAAGCCTTCTGCTGGGGTGGGTGAGTGGGACCCTTCTGCCTGCCTTTCTCTGCAGGCAGGCTGGCATGGAGGCCTGGCTGGAGCTGGGCAGATAGGGCCCAAAACGGAGCTGGTCTGGGGGTGGAGCCTGTCAAGTCGCAGAGCTCCAGCCTGGCTCCGCCCCTCCCTTCCCAGGGCTCAAAGGGATGACATCACCAGGCTGAGGGCTCTGGCCTGGATGGGCTGCGCTCCTGGAAGCTGCCTCCACAGGGCCCCAGGATTTCGTGGGGTGGCCAGGCCTGCTTCTCCGCTACTCATCTGAATCCCCCCTCAGCCCCGGGATCTCTGCTTTGGGGTCCGAGAGCTGGCCACTTGTTTTTTCAGACGTCCAAGTCTGGGGCTCGGGTCTTCCACCAGAGACCATGCCTGGGGCAGGTGGTCAGGAGCCCCTCCCTGACCCAGCCCACACGGGTTGCTCCATTGTTCTGAGGGGGAGTCGACCCCTGGTTCCAGCCGGGCAGCAGTCAGCTGCAGCAAACCTACCGTCCCCTTGCCGCGGGTCCACGAAACTCTCCCCGCCTTACCCCCCCCAACTGGGTGCTGGTGGTGCCTGCTTGTGGAGCATATGCTTGGCTGGCTGCTGCGTGTCTGCTGTTTATCCGTCTCTTCCCACTTAACTTCTGTTCCCGCCTGGCCCATCTGGCTCCCTGGTACCTGTCTTTCTCTCGGGCGCCTCCATGCGACACTGCACTCCTGCCCCACAGTCCTCCTCCACCACTTCCCTCCTGGGGCCTGGCTCTCATCCAGCCTGGGCCAGCACCGGAGCCCTTGACCTTGGATCTAGGGGCAGTGAGGGGTGTCGGAGTCCCTGCAGTGTTCTGGCCACCGTTGGGGAGGGAGGTTGAAGTGGGTGGTAGAGGGTAGCATGTGAGGGGCCTGGGACTTGGCGGGGGGGTCTGGGGCTTGGGGGGGAACCCTGCTTTGCTGGGTCTTTCTGAGCTTCCTTCCCATCAGGGGGCTTATTTGGGGTAGGGCCATGGAGATACTGCCCTCTGCCTGCATCAGCCTTAAGAGAGTGACCTGTGAGTAGCAGCAGAGAGAATGAGGTCAAGGAGGCCCCAGGGTTCTCCTAACCAAGAACCTGGGGTGCACCCTGGTTCTCCCTGCGGAGAGGGACTGTGGCAATCTGGTGTTCTGGGCAAGAGGCCAGAGAGAAGCTGCAGGATGCTTCCAGTGGGCACGAGGGGGACGGGTTAGGGTTGGCCTCCCCTCGACCAACAGATCCATCCCACTCCAGCCAATGGCCCGATCACTGCCCCCTCCCCCGACCTCCCACTTGCTTGCACACCCCAGAACGCATGGCATCTCCCGGGTGAGATGTAGTGGCTTCCGGCTTCCCCAGGACTCACACGGAGCCTGGAGGAAGACGGAAAGGAGGATTAGGGCGGGGACTGGGGCTGCTCCTCCGGGTGGAGGCCGCGCTGGGCCCGAGTCAACAAGGATCTTCCACATGCTCCCTGGAAGCGACCGCTTCCCTCAGAAGCCGCAGGGCTTGGCGGCCAGGCCTCACCGCGTGCCGCTCCATCTGCCCGCTCTGCCGGCTCCTGGCCCGCTCCCTTGGCCTCTAATGTTCTTCCTTCCTCCTGAGCCTCCTTTCTGCTGCCCCGCTCCCCATCTCTGTCTGGCCAGGTCCGTCCGTGCCACGGTCCCAGGCCTTCTTCCCTTTGGCCTTCATCCATCCAGCTTCCTCTTGCGCCTCTGCTGTTTCTCGTGTTCAGATTCTCTCTCTCATACATATTCAGCGGCTCCTTGAAAATCCACCTGGATCATTCTCGGTGCTAGAAGCCTAGATCTGCTTCAGAAATAAAGAATAAAACTTCTCACCCTGTGATTCTGCATCCCTGTCTCCGGACCCGGACCAGGATCAGCCACCTGGCAATTGTTGGAGAAGCAGCCCGTTCTTCCACCCAGGTGCACTCACTCCCCCAGTGCCTCCTTTTCCAACCTGGGACCAGCAGGACAATGAGGTCCAGAGACACACTCCTTGGGGACAACCCCACTGCCCCAGAGGGACTTGAAGATTTTAGTCCTGGAAATGTATGCTCCAAGCATCTGAACCTTTGTGATTTACAACCCGTTCACACTTGCCCTGTTATCCCTTTCTAACTCCTGTAGGAGGTTCAGAAATGAAGGAAGCTTATGGCACCAGCAGTGCTGGACAAACAGCTGGCATCAGATGGGCTCAGGTTCCAGCCCTTGGCCGTGGCAGGTGACCAGAAAGATCCAGACAGACGTGGGGGAGTAGTGGTTAAGGGAGGAGGAGGTGTGACACTGAGCCACACCCCACCCTGCTGGGGAGGGTGGGAGGCCGAGCAGGAGGAGGAGTGGGAGGCAGACCAAGCCAGGCCACCGCGCAGGAGATGGGAAGGGGTTCACGGTTCCCCAGCCCCGTTGTTTCGGCTCCGTTCTCTGCCTTTTTTTATCTTCTGGGCTTGTGATTCCTTCTCTGCTTGATTCTTCTGCCCTTGCCTGTCTTTCCCCGCATCCTTGGGGTCTGCCACTAACCTCTGCTCCCTTTCTCTTCCATCTTCCCGATTCCTCACCTCTCTTTGCCCCCTGACCGCCTTCACATCAGCTCCCCAGCATCTGTCTCTCAGCCACAGTGTCATTGGTGTGGCCTCAAAGTGGCTGGACAGCCCAGGGGCTGGTAGATCACATCCCTCCCCTAGAGTTCCTGATTCCGGTCTAAACTCCCAGGCTGAGCCCCGTGCACCCTTCATTTTTGAACCCCTGGGGGCTGTCCACTTAACCCCCACGTGACATGCACCCAGCCACGTGGACTCACCTCGAGGCCCGTGATGGGGCCTTGGGCAGACAGAGCTCTTTTCTAGGGATGGCTCCCGAAACCCAGCCCCCTCCAGGCCCTCCCCCAGTTTCAATTAGCCAGAGACGGTGGTTACTACCCAGAAGCCTACCTCTGCCTCCTTGTGTAACTTTTCCTCCACAAGCATGTGATTCTTCAGTTTTCAGTGTGACTGCTAGGCCTATGTCCTAACTTCCCTTAAAGTTTCTTTCATTTCTGTCTGGAAAAGAAGAACAAATCTAACAAACCCTTCAAAACCCACAATGTATGCCACCAAAGAGATTCCATCAGGTCGGGGGGTCACCTGTGCCCCTGGCTCCTTTCACCAACACCCCTTCCATGCTGACCCCCAGCTGCTTTGGGAGGCAGAGTCAGAGCTGGGGCTCAGGGCCTCTGGGCTGCCTGTCCTTGGGCTACAGGTGATGTCAGTTTTAGCAGAACCATGAGCTGGGGGCCCCTCCAACTCCCCAGGGCTGTTTCCTTGGTGCCGTGAGAACTGAGTCCAGTTGAGTGGTCTGGGGCACTCAGATGCCCCTCTGAGCTCAGGTCCTCGTCTGTGAGGAAGGAGCAGTAAAATCCTGCGCTATGGCTTTGTTGAGAAGATTAAATGCAGAAGCAGGAATGCAAGCGCTAGGTACGTGTATAGAGTTCTAGAGAAGCGGGTGTGGAGCATTGAGGCATCAGGTTTGCTGGGGGAGACCGGCAGCAAGCAGCCCCCGGCCTCAGAGAGGCTCAGTGAGGACCACAGATGCCACAGGGCCTCGGGAGAGGCTGGCGACCTCACTGCCCCCAGAACCACCTGTCGTTTCCATTCTCCTTCTGGCCACTCTAGATGCCTTCATAGCCCACTTGTCTCCCTCCCAACTCCCTTCCCATCCTTGCTTTAAAGCTTCAGTTCCCATTTTTCTTCAACAAATTTCCTCCCCCACCCCGATGTTCTCCCTCCTGCACTAAAGCCCAACCGGAGGTCAGTCCTTCCTTTCCGTGGTTGCTTCTCCCCTGAGGAGTCCACCAGACCCCCAGCCCAGAGAGCTATGTCCTGAAGACCTGACTTGGCCTGGTGTGGGGGCCATGTTTCCCTGTGTGGTTCCTGCGTGCCCTATCTGGTCCCCAGTAAAGACTTAATCATACCAACACCACCAACAAAAAGACTCAATAGTACATGTGCTAGAATCTCTAAACGTAGTGGGCGCTTCTCATGGCTCGCTCCCTTCCTCCCACGAACCCAGCCAGCCCAACCCCTCCAAGCTTGGCCCTCCAAGCTTCGGAGAGCAGAGAAGGCAACATCCTCTAAGTGCTCAGGCTGTCCTGGTAGCAGAGGGTCCACTGATCCCAGACCAGGGTCTTCTTCCTACGGAGATTCCTAGAGTCACTGCCAGGCACTGCCAGGCTCCAGAGCCCTGGACAAGGACTCTCAGATGCCTGTCTTCAGACATAGATACAAAGTGATCAGCACAGTAGATCCCAGGATTCAACAGAGATGGAACTGCTAGTCTAAAGCCATACATTATCAATGCCCCGTGAGGGGGGACTTTGGCCACATGGGCTCTGAACCCCAGAGCTGGCTTGGAGAGGCTTGCCCCTGTCTGGAGAGCCCTTGGACCCTCTGCCACTCTGCAGGCACATCAGTAAGAGATGCATTTGTAGGCAGACAGATGCCAGTTCAAATCTCAGCTGTATTGCTTTCCAGCTGCATGTCAGCAGGTTTGACCTCTCTAAGGTCTGCCCCTTTGTGTGAAAAGGAGGATGCCAGTTCATTCAGAAGGCTGCCCAGAAGAACAACTTGAGAGACGCACATCTTTTAACCACCACCCAGTGGAGGTGAATGGATGGTGCTTCAGACCATTGACCGGTAGTCCTGACACTGCACTGTTCTGCTCCTTTCTGTTCTGTCCTGGACCTCTTCTGTTTCTTTGCTTCACTTGAATCAGATCCAGTGCTATCAAGTCCTGAACTCTGACCCCTCCCAGCAGCCTGACCCTCCATGGTCCCCACATCTTCAGAATAGCGCTGCTGGCAGTGACCCATCCCACCTGACACTGGCTCACCTGGGATCAGCAGGTAGGTCTCCCTCTCAGGACAACTCCTTGAGCCAGGAGCCAGCACTCCCCAGCAGGAGGGGCCAGGGCCCCGGGAAGAGGAATGGTTCTGGGTTTGGGCCTCCATTTGGGAGCTGGCTCAGGCCCATCACTGGCCACTCAGCCTCCTGAGGAGCCTGGTGTGAGGGATGTGCGACTAGCCCTGGACCCTCAGTGCCCTGGTCCACTCTCGGCAGACCTGTCCACACTCAGTTAGCCACTTAGGGAAGAGAAAGAGCAAGGGGAGCTGGAGAAATCTGTCCAGACCCTGATGAATAGTTTCCTAAGCCTGCTGTTGCCATGGCAGCCAGCTGGGAACACCGTTTCCAGGGCCCGAGGCGCTCAGACCTGCACGGGGGGCTGCCCTGCTGGGCTGCTGCCCACTCGCCTACCCCCACCCGGCCTCCTGGCTCCTTAGCAACTGCCGTCACTATTGCCATGGCAACCACGGCTGCAGCTTCTGCACTGGCGGCTGGAGGGGGGGAGGGGGCAGTGTCCAGGGATGTTCCGGGGGGAGGTGGGGAGTATGTCCCTGGCAGAGTTGAGGTACCTATGAGGTAGGAAGGGAAAACCTGGGCCACTTTGCCTCAGTGGCCACAGGCTCCTTCCTGACTATAGACTCCTAAGGATGTGTTTGTGTATCTCGGTGTATGTGGGTTTTTTTCTGGAGAAAGAGTTTAGAGTTTTTATCCAACTCTCAAAGAAGACCAAGGTCCCCAGTGAGTAAGAGCCACAATCATGGACGCTTTTGCTTTCAGAGTCAGAATCATCTCAGGGACTGATTGATCCACAGGCTTGGGAGATAAGCAGAGGGGAAGGGTGGAGGCAGGAGGCATGCTACTCAGGGACCCCACAGGGGTGCCCCTGGGGCCCTTTGGGAACCGGGGCTGGGGTCTCCCTCCTGACCACCTGAGATGTTCCGTCCTTCTCATCTGCCCCGATTTGCAGCTCTGCTCCGGAGTCAGCCAAGCAAGCCATCTGTTTGCTGTGCCCAGTCCCTGAGCCCCGTGCCCTGCACACCCTATGCAGTGTCCCATCAACCTGCACACCAGCGGGGGTGTTCTCTCACCACTGCCATTTAGAGATGAGAACTTTGAGACAACAGATAAAGTAAGCCATCTGCCAAGTCAATGCAGTGGGTTTCCCTGTCTCTGAGGAGCAGGAGTCACGGGGCACTGTATTTTCTCGGGGGAACTCAGTTAGCCACTTAGGGAAGAGAAAGAGCAAGGGGAGCTGGAGAAATCTGTCCAGACCCTGATGAATAGTTTCCTAAGCCTGCTGTTGCCATGGCAGCCAGCTGGGAACACCGTTTCCAGGGCCCGAGGCGCTCAGACCTGCACGGGGGGCTGCCCTGCTGGGCTGCTGCCCACTCGCCTACCCCCACCCGGCCTCCTGGCTCCTTAGCAACTGCCGTCACTATTGCCATGGCAACCACGGCTGCAGCTTCTGCACTGGCGGCTGGAGGGGGGGAGGGGGCAGTGTCCAGGGATGTTCCGGGGGGAGGTGGGGAGTATGTCCCTGGCAGAGTTGAGGTACCTATGAGGTAGGAAGGGAAAACCTGGGCCACTTTGCCTCAGTGGCCACAGGCTCCTTCCTGACTATAGACTCCTAAGGATGTGTTTGTGTATCTCGGTGTATGTGGGTTTTTTTCTGGAGAAAGAGTTTAGAGTTTTTATCCAACTCTCAAAGAAGACCAAGGTCCCCAGTGAGTAAGAGCCACAATCATGGACGCTTTTGCTTTCAGAGTCAGAATCATCTCAGGGACTGATTGATCCACAGGCTTGGGAGATAAGCAGAGGGGAAGGGTGGAGGCAGGAGGCATGCTACTCAGGGACCCCACAGGGGTGCCCCTGGGGCCCTTTGGGAACCGGGGCTGGGGTCTCCCTCCTGACCACCTGAGATGTTCCGTCCTTCTCATCTGCCCCGATTTGCAGCTCTGCTCCGGAGTCAGCCAAGCAAGCCATCTGTTTGCTGTGCCCAGTCCCTGAGCCCCGTGCCCTGCACACCCTATGCAGTGTCCCATCAACCTGCACACCAGCGGGGGTGTTCTCTCACCACTGCCATTTAGAGATGAGAACTTTGAGACAACAGATAAAGTAAGCCATCTGCCAAGTCAATGCAGTGGGTTTCCCTGTCTCTGAGGAGCAGGAGTCACGGGGCACTGTATTTTCTCGGGGGATATTGTGCAATCGCCACTGTTGGCTACATGCAGATCAAAGGAACTGACCTCGGGACATCCTTGTAGACTGGCCTCTGCTACAGAGAATTGCCCATGCCCGCAGCTCAGGTACCCCTGGGAGCCCGGGTGGTGCCCTTGGGCGGGCAGATGGCACAACATCTCTAGCTAGCAGGTGCCTGGGTCAACAGTCTAGGTGAGGGTGCTTGAAGGTTCCAAGGAGGGAGCAGGAAAGACCAGGTGCCTCACACTTCACTGGCATGTAGGGGGGGGAGCAGGTGTTCATGGGGGGCCCGGGAGGGAGGTGAGAGGCTTGGAACACCCCCAGGCCGCGTGGGCTGTTGGCATCCTAGCAGAGGGTGACAGGGATGCAACGGCTGTGTTCATCACTGGTGTGCAGAAACACAAGTTACCATCCGATCCGCAAGTGGGAGTTGGGGGCTCCGTCATCTGCAGGCTTCTGTGGGAGCAGTCTCCCGGCCCCTCTTCTTGCCCCAGAGGCGCGGGTGCCGAGAGCAGATGGTGAGGGGGAGGGGGGTGGGTCCCGATTCCTGAGTCACTTGTCTGCCGGGCTTCCTTTTGGGGGCGCTGGCAAGTACAGCACGCTCCATCACCACGGACAAACTGGCGGCCGGATGGCAGGGAGGCGAGGGTCAGACAAAGGAGATGATGCCGGGAGTGCCTCACGCCCAGTCAGGAGCCGCAATCGGAGGTGATTAAGCTGTGGAGGAGAAAGCCGGGAGTCATCGCTGACTCAGGGATGAGGCTGCTGCTCTGTTCTCGCCTCACCTGCCCGCTCACTCGCAGGCTGGAGCGGGGAGGCTGGTTGAAAAGGTGAGTGACTCACAGGCACTTAAAAAAGCAGCGCTTCTTAAGCTGACAAGCTTCTGAGACTGAATCAAAGAATCTTTTTTTTTTTTCTTTAATTTTCCAATGGCCATGTGAGGAGGTTGGAGTCTTTTCTGAGAACTAGGGGCAGAGCCCAGGGTGGACACAGCTGGGGGCTTGGACAGGCAAAGCAGCCATGTGCCCCCCAGCTCTGGGTGGGGGTGTGTGTGTGTGAGAGAGGCTGCAGGCTGGCTAGTTAAGGGCCTGGGATGTGACCCCAGTTTGGATCACTAGCTCTGGGCAGTGACCACCGCCACCCCCCCCAACTCCATGGCAACCGGGTCTGTTTGCTCATCCATAAGAAGAGACTAGAATTCCTGGGCACCAGGCTGGGAGGGGAGAGGGCAGGGAGGCACCCACGTAGCCCTAAATGATGAAGCAGTAACTTCTCTTCAGTTTCTCTCTTCTATTCCAAAGAGAAGTAAGACACCCTGATTTACATCACACGCTGTGGTCACAACAGAACAGTAAGAAGGGTAACTCAGTGATACAAATTACCCCCAAATACAATAAACATTTACTGAAAGACGCTGTTTTATTGTTGGCAACCCCCTCTGGGAAGGTGCTAAATGTGCACGGATCTGGTTGGTGGGCGTCTAAGGAGACTGAGATGGTGCCCCTTGTGTTTAGGGTTTAGAGTCTCAAAGACCAGAAGTCGGAAAACTAAGCTTTTGGAAGGGCTGAATATAGAATAATCAAGACCCTAGACCTTGGAGGGTTAGTCAAATGCCCCATCTCAGGCTGGGTGACACCAAACATGTGCCTTGAGAGTGAGTCTAATTCTCTTCCAGTTTTTCTTTATCCCAAAGGAGAAGGAAGAATCTTTGACCAGCAAGAGCAGCCAGCTTGCAAAGATGGGATGGCTGACATGAGGTGCAAACAAGCAAGTCAGGAGGTCACTTGGTTGACCTCCAGGATGCATTGGCCAGAGCCCGCAGGGTGATTCCAGCTGTGCAGGGCACCCTTGCCCAGAGCCCCTCTGAGCCTGGCAGCTGATGACATGCACCCAAGGGGCCAGGGCTTGGCTGGGGCTCACCCGGAGACACCCCCTCCATCTTGCTGTCCACGGGCTCCCTCCTGCCTGGTACCACTCCCACCACCTGACCGTTCTGGGCTCTGCCAAGAGCTGCCTGTTCAGCCGGTGTGAGCTGCTCACACATAGCTTTCCTGCTGTTTCCTGGGGTTTATCATGATCTTGGGAAGAGTCAAAGCCATTTTCTCCTTGGCAGGAATGAGTTTTGGGCTTATCTGAATTCTGGCCACAGATGCATCCAGAATGTTCCCACAGCCACAAGAGCTCTACAAACAGGGTGACTTAACCATCAAATTGGGAGCCAGGTAACCAAGATCTTGCTTGGTTCCTGCACCCACTGATGGGAGGGGCCTGACAACCCATGAAGCGTCCTTTTCTGCTCCCAAAGCCCTGCTCTTTGTACACGCCCGGCCTCCACCAGCCACACAGACAACTCTCCTAGGAAGTTCCCTCCCCACTTGCCATGCGTGGGCTGTAGCCTCTTGCCATTGAAGGCGTGGACCACGACCATCAGCATATAGACTGATCTGTTAACACAGGAAGAATAGAGTGAAAAGGGAGGGGGCTTACAGAGCTGGGGTGGGCTCTTCTGGGGGAAGATGGTTTCTGAGATGAGGGATCAACCAGCTGCTTCTGCCGCCATGCCAAGGACAAGGGGAGAGTCCAAATAAGGGGGTCATCACAGTGCCTGGCCCCTCCCCCAGAGGGGCAGAGGAAGGGGCAGGAAGTAGGGCTGGCGTGTCCTTGCAGCCCCACTGTCAGTCCCAGGCCATCACCCTGGGCATGTGCTGCTTGCTGAAGGATCTCTCTGTTCAGTCTCTACTTTCTATACTGGGTCTTGATTCTCCTTTGAATCTCAGCCACAAGCAGACCTTTGCTGAATCTGTGACCACAAGGTATTTAAGATGCAATATTAGCTTCCCCCACCCCAGTGTGGGTGGGGGGGCAGGCAGCAGGGCGGGATTGGAGCCCAGGATGACTCTTGGTGGGGAGCTGGAGGGGCAGGTAGACTCAGATTACACACTTGGGAGTCCAGACGAGGGAGCTGATGCCTTATGAGATGAAACGGTTTGTTTACCGAGAGCTTGTGCTCATTGATGGGAGAGTAAGACTATGCTCAGGTCATTGGACACCTGAGCCTTCCTGCAGCCACAGGGCCTATCCCATCCAGCAGCGGCTCAGCTGATGATGGATGGCACAGCTCTGGGAGCAGAGGGGCACCCCTGTGTAACCTCGACCCCTTCCAGATGTCCCTGCCTTGCACCAAGGGTTGCACGCGTCCTGAGGTCACCTGGGGGAACACATGGATGGAATGAACTTTTAGAGGTGTTATGCCTGGATAAACCTCCAGACCCTGCAGGAATCAAAGCTCTGAGCACGTCCTGCAGTGTCTGCTGCAGCCTCTGTGCCTCCCCTGCCTCCTGGATGTCCCCTGCTTCCAGGAGGCTCGTGGCTTTCCTAGTGACACTGTCACATCCTGTCCCTGGGATTCGTGGTTGTCACCACTCCCGCAGCTGACCCTGTGTGCCCCCTCCTCCTACTTCTCTCCACATGCTGCTCTGTGAACAGCTGGTCCTGCCCAGGGAAGGGCACCCAGATCTGCAGACCAGGCTCCTGCTGGTGACGTAAGTGCCGCTGTATACATAGCCACACACACTCGACATCATCTCTTGCACACTTGCCACATGCTGGATGGCGGGGTGCATATCACATGCGACAGAATCTCTGCCCCCAAGCAGTGATCAGGTGAGTGAGGAAGGTGCCTAGTCGATCGGTGGCTTCGCGGCAGCACGATGTGACCCATGTTTGGCCATGACAGGCCCAGGCCAAAGGAATTTAAAAGCAAAACAGAGGGATGGTTACATCATCCTGGGAAGCAGGAGGTGCCCAGAGAGGGTGGGGCTTGGCTGGATCCCCAGAGGATGCCTGGGGGATCAACTAGGGGAAGGGCATTCAGGAAGAGAAAGCGCAAAGGCAACGTATACTGGGCAGGTGTCCAGCTGCTGGGATCCACTGGAAATCCCTCCACTCCTCATCAGGAGCAGGCTATCATGGTGGAAAGGGCTCCCCTGGCAAGAATGTCAGACACAGGTGTGGACCAGGGCAATTCACTGACCCACACCTCAGGGAACATGAGAGGACTAGACAAGATGGTCTCTCAAGTCCCTTCCAGCCTCAGAGCTGCCTTCTCCCCCTAGACCACTCTAGAAACCCTAGACAGAGCAAATAAGGTTCACCAAGACTAAGACCTCCTCCCAGGAAGGCAGGTGAGGATGGGGCCATAGGGCTGCAGGGGAAGAAGGGGGCTCACCGCTTTGGTTGGGCAGGCCCCCTCCTCCTGTGGGCAGGAGGATGTTGGGGCAAGAAACTTACATCTGATGGACATGCTAGTGGGCGCTCTTCTGTCACGATGTTAGGGAACACATGGATGGAATGAACTTTTAGAGGTGTTATGCCTGGATAAACCTCCAGACCCTGCAGGAATCAAAGCTCTGAGCGCGTCCTGCAGTGTCTGCTGCAGCCTCTGTGCCTCCCCTGCCTCCTGGATGTCCCCTGCTTCCAGGGGGCTCGTGGCTTTCCTAGTGACACTGTCACATCCTGTCCCTGGGATTCGTGGTTGTCACCACTCCCGCAGCTGACCCTGTGTGCCCCCTCCTCCTACTTCTCTCCACATGCTGCTCTGTGAACAGCTGGTCCTGCCCAGGGAAGGGCACCCAGATCTGCAGACCAGGCTCCTGCTGGTGATGTAAGTGCCGCTGTATACATAGCCACACACACTCGACATCATCTCTTGCACACTTGCCACATGCTGGATGGCGGGGTGCATATCACATGCGACAGAATCTCTGCCCCCAAGCAGTGATCAGGTGAGTGAGGAAGGTGCCTAGTCGATCGGTGGCTTCGCGGCAGCACGATGTGACCCATGTTTGGCCATTACAGGCCCAGGCCAAAGGAATTTAAAAGCAAAACAGAGGGATGGTTACATCATCCTGGGAAGCAGGAGGTGCCCAGAGAGGGTGGGGCTTGGCTGGATCCCCAGAGGATGCCTGGGGGATCAACTAGGGGAAGGGCATTCAGGAAGAGAAAGCGCAAAGGCAACGTATACTGGGCAGGTGTCCAGCTGCTGGGATCCACTGGAAATCCCTCCACTCCTCATCAGGAGCAGGCTATCATGGTGGAAAGGGCTCCCCTGGCAAGAATGTCAGACACAGGTGTGGACCAGGGCAATTCACTGACCCACACCTCAGGGAACATGAGAGGACTAGACAAGATGGTCTCTCAAGTCCCTTCCAGCCTCAGAGCTGCCTTCTCCCCCTAGACCACTCTAGAAACCCTAGACAGAGCAAATAAGGTTCACCAAGACTAAGACCTCCTCCCAGGAAGGCAGGTGAGGATGGGGCCATAGGGCTGCAGGGGAAGAAGGGGGCTCACCGCTTTGGTTGGGCAGGCCCCCTCCTCCTGTGGGCAGGAGGATGTTGGGGCAAGAAACTTACATCTGATGGACATGCTAGTGGGCGCTCTTCTGTCACGATGTTCCACTCCAGCGCCTTCACTTCTATTATTACACCAGTGATTTATTCCAAAAACATAAACCGAACAGCAAGAGTAACTGGCTCCCTAGGGAGAGGTCCCCCACCTCCCCTGTGAGCCGCCTCCCCAGCCTACTGTGTTTGCTATGCTCAGTTCAAGCCCATTCTTGGGGCGGGTGGGGGTGACAGCGGGGCTGGGCAGGGGGGCTATATCTCAAAGTCCTCCCGGACACTGAACTAATGGCTCCGACCAGCAGTGCTGCCTGCCCGGTGCTGCTCTAATGCATTTGAAACCTGGGTGAATGTCATTCTTGGAGCTGTGGTTTCCTCACCACTGAAACATGGAGGAGAATTCTGAGAAGACAGTTTCCCTTTTAGCAACCTGGGGAAAAGCAAAGACTTGGGTTCCAGCCGGCTGCTCTCTCCCCTGGTGGCTGGTGCTCCCTGTCCCAGGAGGATGGGCACAGCTCTGGGCTGTGCCCCATCTCCAGGGGCCATAGTGGGCATCCCCATTAGCACCGCTCCAGTACTGCGGAGCTGGCAGGAGAGATGCTGTTACAGAAGGCAGGGTCTGGGACCACCTGCTGTGTCCTTGCGACAAAAACCCTGGAGTTTAAAACACCCTCCCAATAATCCATTGTGCTTGGCTTTTCCTGGCTGAGATGGAAACTGGTGAAGGTCGTGTGGGG